TCGGCGTCGATCTCGGGTGTGGGGACGAAAATCGCGAAGACGAAGATCGCGACTTGTTCGTCGCGGACGAATCGCGTGCTCGGTTACTACACGCTCTCGTCACATATGGATCGCTCATTAAGTAACGCCCGTAGTCACTCTCGCTGCTGCCGCGTGGTGCGGGTCCGTGTGACACACTGACACATAAGTCGCGTTCTTACGGCAGACATGACCGCTATCGCCACGACGTATCGGCGCTTAGGCTGCGACTACGAAAGAACACGTTGTAACGATTAACCTTTCCACCGAGGAGACAAGGTGAAGCGTGAAATTTCACAAGCGCGAAATCATTCGATCGATATTTTTCGTGCGACCGTTACGCATGGGGTTTCTCCGCCGTGCGTTATTTTGAAATAGTTACGAAATCGTTACGTTCATCTCTCGTTTCCGTCGAAAGTATACGCGCGAGAGTAACATATATATATATATACATATATAAGTATGACGACGCTGCAAAATCTACCTCGGTTTAATAGCCGCATTCAATCGCTTACTTTTCCCTTCTTCTTCAAATTAGGAGTCGACGCACTGACTTCTGCCGACGTTTGATTCGATTGATATCCGTATATCGCTACATGGAAAGAAGAAGAAAAAAAAGGCAGACAACGTTTAAACGATTCGGCGTGGCACACATACCACGTGAAACGTTTTACATAAAATCGCGATGGAAACGCGTTCCGATGCAAGTCGACCTCAAAAAGACGACCTCTCGAATTTCACTGGGACATCAACGAAATATACCTCCTCCTTTTTCCCCACCCTGACGGCCGTCCGATAGCGAAAGAGAGAAAAGGAGACGAAAATGTACTACCGCTTGTGTCCGTAAGTTAAATCATTTGCTCGGTGAAATCCGCCGAGATGCGATGGTGATTGCCTCATCGATATTTCGGATTCGCAACTTTTTCTTTTCTTCCTCTTTTCTCAAAATGTAGGCGGAATTGTACTGCTTCTCCGGAGCAACGCGCGACAATGTAGCTTGAATTCTACAATCGCGTGAAGTTATGCATTAGACTCCACCTTATGTCTAGCTTGTGAAAATGTTTGGTCGAAGTATAACAAACGGAGGAGGAACAAAGCAGCGTCTGGAAAGTTTTACCATGTATTTTTATACTGAATTATAACGAGACGCGGAGGAACTAGGCGTTGGGTCTGTTCGTAGTGGAAGGAAAAGGAAGGAGTATCGGTGACTTCTCTTCGACTTGTTACGACACTTTCACTGCAGATCCCGTGATTCTGTCGTCTCTGCGACCCACCTTGCGACACCTCTCCCCCATTTCATTTCTGATAATAATAGAGAAACGTCACTTGACATTATCCTCTTGTACACCAGTTTGTCTCTCACGGCAGCTCTGAATATTAATCGCGCGCAGATTGATATGATATATAACATGAAGCATGCGAAGTGTTTATTTTGAGAGTATGTTTAACATATTTGACAAGATCGTAGAAAACTATCGATGAGCTTAGATTTTCATTTTACGTACGCTTTCGCGGAAATGAAACGCGAGAGCGACGCGTTCCGCATTGTTGCAATTCTTCGCGAGACGAGACAACATTGTAGACTTTATCCGTCGCGAGTCTCCGCGGGGCAGCTCCAATCTTGTCGTGTGTTTAGAAAATTGCGCTTTCGATTGAAACGAAAAACCTGCTCTAAACGCGGAAGTAAAAGTGCCCCAGTTAATGCAAGTCTGATACTACGAAACATCGGAAAGTTTAAAGATTCTACTGCGAGAAAACCGGTACCGGTCAGATTTTTAGTAGTTAGCTTCGGTTTTGGAATCCTGCCTATACTTTATGTCGATTCACTTATACAGTCCGACAAAACAATGCTTGTCAAGTAACTTTAATCTGGGTAGGTGTTTCTTTTAGATTTTCGGCCGTAAAAAACAATGTCGCCAGTCAATTTGCTCCATCACGTCAGGTTTTAAGGTTACTTTGAATTATAAGATGAAATCAGCGATCACCTATTTTTATTACTTTATTGCAACTGTCCTCTTAATTTTCTACTATCGACTCTCTCAATTGCCAACTGTTGAACATTGGCCTCTACGTACTCGACCCTCAGTTCTCAACTTTCGACTCCTGGTGTCCGGCGGTCTGCTCGCGTCTCCCAACTCGACTCATTTTTTGTCTTGCGGGGAAATCTCTCTTCGCAACCGTAGATTGTACTTGCGAGTACTTTTCGACTCGCGCTTCTTCCTTTTCCCAAAGGTCAAGGTCGCGACGTGACATCGCACCTCCAACCAACATAACGCTGGTTGAACGAACACGAAGCGTCCCAGTTACCGTCCGCGTGTCCCCGTTCGAGCGAGGTTTATTAATTTTCGATCGGAAATATCGCGTTATGATGGAGAGAGAAAAGATTCGGCTGCGAATTAATAAGCGCTAATGGGAAGTAATCAATTGTCGAAGATGCGTTTCGCGGAGGGTCGCGCAAGTCGCCGAAAAATGACAGCCGTTCCGTACAAGAGCGATCACTCACACGAATCAATCAGCGATCAGTCATCAATTAACTTGGGAACATTTCAAGTAATCTCCGTGGCATGTGTATTCAATTATGTCGAGAATTTCGTCTTCGCGATTTAATGATTCGGTACGCACACAATTTGCATCGTGTGTACAATATGAAGTTAATGTACTAATTAATTAACGTCCCATTAGCGACATCCGTTGATTTCCATTGAAATCATCGAAATTGCAGGGCAATTCTCTAATCCTCGGCGTTTTACACCTTCACGGATTATTAGCGGCTGCCGCGACAATTATAGCGCGGGAACTTAGACATTCTCGGTGTCTCTTTTCTTCTCCCTTTCGATCTCTCTCGTATGGAGGTGATATCAACGTTTTCAATTCCGCAACACTCGTCGTCGCGTAAAAACAGCAAGTATTACGTCGCAAATATCCGTCCGATATCATCGGGGGCATCGATCGGTTTCCTTGACGGCATTTACGACGCGCCTTTCCACGCCGTGCTCATTACAACCTCCACTCGTCGTTTCCGAGAACTTTTGTGATCTTTAATAATCGCAAACCGCGACCCTCGCCGCTCCTCGGATCACCACCGCGTGCGGGTGGTCACGTCGTCCTCTCGCCTCTCTACTCCTCTCGCCTGATCTCGTGCTTCAACTTCGTCGAAGAAATTTCGGAACAACCGACTGTTCTGACGAGAACATGTAGCGAGATGTGTGCCAACAGGTTTTCTTATCTGTCGGTTGCGTAAATAGAGGAAATTCGACGGTATTTACGTGACCCTGAGAATCGGCTCGTAAAATGATCGAGGATTTCAGGTTTTGAGGGAGCCTTCGGGCTATCGCTCGCAACTAAGTGAATTAAGTATCGCCAATTAACTATGTGGAATTCGGATTTACTGTCGTTTTCAACAGCCTCGAGTACTACTACCTGCGAGTTGTTAACCTGCTTATACGCGTCTTATGGCTTTTACTTTTCACCTGTAGTTGCTTATTCTTGAGTAATGATACAATGCAGAATTAGGACAAGTAAAATTTGTTTTAATAAAAAAGAATAGATCCTTTTAATATATTCAAATTATTTAATATATTATAATTATAAGAGTCTAAATATACGGTTGTCCTTGTGCGATTTTAATATTAATATTGGTGGGAAGATACCTGTTAGTCATATATTAAGTATTCAGGAAGTATTTTATCGGTCCGGCTAGAATTCTAAATGTCACAGATAAAATATATTGCTGTTTACTGTGTGCTAAAATATTATTGGTCTGTGATACGTATAATTTACAACAGCAGCATTCTAGCAATATACGCAGGAAAATTTAGATTCCGTTACTAATTTCCGTTACTAATAAGAAACGTGACTGGCTTTAAATCTGGATAGGTTCTACAGAGAGACTTACTTGCTAAATTAGACAAATAGTTCAGATAAAATTTTTACTTCTGTTGTCTATATTGATTAGATACAACACATGTATGACATTGAACTATTTGCTAGTTATTTATCCATTTTAGCTAATTTCTCGTATCTAGATCATTTTTGCTACGACCGCAAGACCATTTTTTTTTTAATAAAATACGACTAACATACGGGAAAAAATTTGATTGCATTGACCAGAAAGGAAACAACCAGATATATTTTGTTTTCCGATTAATGCAACCAGATTGTTTTCCATGTAGAAATCTTTTGGTCTTCTCAGAAGCCGATAGGAACCTCCTTAGAATTCCTTTTTAACTCCGAGACTTCCGAACAGCATCGAGACTGACCCTTCGAAAGGATGTAACTTAGAACGAGACTCCTTGATATCATAAATAATTCTGATTTCCGGAACATGAACGCGCGGTATCGATTTTGCGTTTACGCGGTGGAGCAATGTGAAAATGGGAGTTGACGTTATTCCCCGACATAAATTGTAACATCCACACCCATATTGTCCGCATTCATAAATTCTGTGAGACGGCATTTATTTATCGAGGTCGGACTAACCACAATCTCCAGATTTAACTCCTGATAGTCGCTTATGATTATTACGAAGAACCTGTGTAAGGGAAGACGGTGGATTTCGTTATCGCGTTTATCACGAGCATAAACCAGCTGTAACGGACGGACGACCATTATTGCCTTCCGCATTGCTATCCATACGAAATGGCTCTTTGCATAAGTAATCAACCCTGCTAGCCTCTGCCGAATCTTCTTCTTCCTCGCTCTGTCGGCTTCCTCGTTGGTTGCGACGCATCGCCGCACGTTGCTGCGATTTTGACGCGCCGAAGCGCTCGATTTCTCTCTTTCTCTCTCCTTCTCTTTCTCCCTCCCTCTCTCTCTCTCTCTTTCTTTCGTACGACAGTATTCGACGTATCTTCCTTCCCACACGGCGCGGTGATTTTGACGCATCGAGCCGCTCAGCGTCGATTTCTCTTTTCCGTCGTTCAAATACGCTCGCGTATTTTCGATCTCTCTCTATATCCCTCTCTCTTTCTCTCTTTTCGCAGCGGTTTGACGCGGAGAGGAGGCGGCGGTAGTGGCAGTGGTGGCGATGGCGGTGGCGGTGGCACCTCTCGCTTTCACTCGCCGCGTGGTTGTGCGAAGAGGCTGTCACGGCGTCCGAGAGCTTCAGTATCCGCCGGAGAGTCGCCGGAGACACGCGCTGTTTCTCGATGTTGTTGATGCGGCACCGCGATCAGTGTAACACCCGAGATTGAAGGCCCGAGCGAGAGTGAACGAGGGAGATTTTCAAATCGCATCTTCGTGCCCGCACCGGAAGCGACAGCGAAGAAAGAGACCAAGAGAGAGAAAGAGAAGAAAGAAAGGAGAGACCGCGACGTGCGCGGGGAGGGAGGCGCTATCATAAGAGCGAGAGCACGCGGACTGACAGAGGAAGAAGCGTCATTGGAAGAGTGACAGAAATGGTGACAGTCGACTGGCTGAGGTAAGGGTTGAATTATTAATCGTTGAGTCGCGATAAAAGAAGCTCTCCTGTAGGATTGACATTTTTTTTACTCGCGTTAGAATCCTTATTGAAGTCGAATTTCGCCACGGGACTGTAAGTTAATTTCATATTATTCAGAAATAAATTTGACGAGGATTCAGAAATGAATTTGACAATTTCGCTTGGGAAAATAAGGAATAACGTTCTCTTTTTCATCGGAAAAGTGTGACTGACTGGAAAAACCGGGAGGGGTCTCATCGATAGACGTTACGTGGGAGACGATTAGTATGAGTTAACGCTTGTCACGAGGATGGTGGAGTGTGTTCCGGAGTAGCATGTAAAAGTAACTTTCTAATAGCGGAACGGTACCTCATCGTTCGCATATTTGTTAGGTGAATTAAGTCGCTTCGATCTCTTTGGGCTACCTACGGGCGCAGCCTCCTTTATTAAGAAAGCGCTTCGATATTTTGGAGCTGACTCCGCGGATGAATTCTTTCATTGTTGTGTAGGGATCAGTCTAAATATCTGTATTGTATTGAGGAAGAAATACTAACAAATGATGCGTAAACAGGATAAGCGAAAATGTAGCGCCCGCATATATTGTAACACGACAGGTTCGGCCATTTAACCGACGAGCGATAACTATTTCATAATTTGTTATAAATATTCATTGCTTCCTCTTTGCGTCATTTTGTACTTTTGACAAGTATGGAAACGACAGGAAGAAAATCTTGCATCGTGAGAAAATTTCCCGGATTACTAATCTTCCGGTTTAGAACGTCTACGTTCAATAGCGCGTACAGGTCACGAGCTATGATCATTCGCTCGATTAATTCACGATAAACGGCGGATGTAACAATGTTTTCCCGTTTTCCTCGTCGGAAACCGGTTTTAGAATTGCTTATCGCGAATTATCTGAAAATGAAGAGAGCAGAATGGCAATTGCGCCGAAACTCGTGCTAAAAAAAGAATATTGCCTATTATTCTCGTATTTTATTTTTAATTAACATTATCATGTGCAATAAATTTTTATTAATTTCTTTATATCAAGTTTATACTACACGGAAGGCCGAACATGTCAAAATTTTTATTCCGAAAGATCCCACGAAAGAAATCACTGCGATACACGTCTCACGAGAAAGAAACGCTCGAGCGTGAACTAAAGTCCAAGTGGTTAGTGTCGCTAATTAGTCAGACACGCTCGTTTCGTGTCGTCGAACATCGCTGGGCGCACGAGCGAGACTCCATGTTTTCGATCGGACGACTAATCCGGCAGTCTTAAAAATCTGAGATATGAAGGATCGAAAATTCATGAGGATTTAATAGACGTATCTCTCTAGAATTCGACGATCTGAAGCCCCCCGAGTATAACCCCCCGGCACTGTACAGCCCGATGTAATTTACATAATTCACGTCTTATTTTAGCTACATAACGACACAGTGATCTCAGAATTCGGGAATTCAAGGCCTCAAGATTCGTAAACTTTCTGTTAAAAAGAAAAAAAAAGTAACATCTTTAAATGTAAACACACATTATACACACAGGAATATCAGGAATCCCGGAAGTGTTTCAGCGTCCGATTTAAAACCTGTTTAAAATCTGAGTTAGATGAGCGCGCAATTAAAGAACATCAAGGAGGTTTAAGAAGAAGTTTCTTCTCAAGTTTGTACGGGTCAACGTTCCGTATTTTTCAAGTACACGATACACCGCGGACATCCTAATTATCTTTAGATCAACTAAAGATTAACTTTACTCATACATTTCCAGCAATTACGGAGGCGGTTACAGAATAAGATGGCCTACATTAGACTAATCACGGTAGTTGGTGCATCCGTGTAATTATATGTGTGCGTCGGATACAAGTATAGTAATAGTTTTCCTTGTGCAATGCGTGTGTTTTCTTCTTTTTACCGACGCTTGCTTGTAATTTACACGACGCATTATGGAGAAAAGTCCCGAGAACTGATGCGAGTAGCATTAAACTTCAAAGAAGCGATCGTTCATAGTCCTTATGTTGTAACGTAATACATTACGATCAATGAGACGAAATTAGCATACTTTTGCCTACGTGGATAAAATAACATCGCGGAGGAGAGGAGATTTTTCAATCATTTCGCGTCGATTAATGAGTGAGTGACAGAAATCTTGAATACGCGAAAATTGAACGTGGAAATTGATTTTTCCGGATAATTGTACGCACAGTGAGACGAAATTGTCCCTGTCGGTGCGATTGAACCCTTCAATTTTCGCGATCCCATACGTTTCGAGACCGTACTTTGCGAGTTTTTCAGAGATGAATATTAATTGCCGCGCGCTCGTGCCCGTTGCGAACCAATTCGTTATAATTATCGTTCACGGCTTGCTTACCGTGATCTGGCACTTGGCGAACCGTAAAGTCGGGCATAATTAAACCGGATAAGTTACAGCCCGGTGGTAAATCTTTCAACCGTGTAATCGCGCAGGATCGACGCGTTTACGCTCCGCTAACGAACGAGCGATAGGTCGATACCTCTCTTCTCGTGGTCGAAAAGGTACGACGCTTCGAGAAAGAGAGAAATGACGACAGGCAGGCAAAACGAAAAGAACACTACCTATTACATTTTTCTTCTGTTTTGTAATTAAGCCGAACGTCTCAGGATTAGAATCGAGTGATCGTCCCACGTCTTTCTCTCTCAAACTTTCTCCCGACCGCCCGAAGTGTTATTTATGTTATTTTATTTTACTTTTGGAAGGAATAAATGTATACGGATGTTTTATAATTATTATTTTCGTCATCCGAAGAGTTCGATGGCACCGTGACTTTCTCCCTCGAAAAGACCAGCGCATGTAAATGTTTCGATTAAATAAGAGCGAACATGGATTCAGTAACGACGCGAGAACGACGGAAACAGCGGCGAGAAGAGTGTCGCGAGACGAGAGACGATTTTAAGAGAGGGCTCCTTACCTGGCTTCCGTGTCTCACCTCGTGTATATTTTGACTCCTCGGTGGAGAAGGAACGAGAGAAATGCGTCGGCTTTTGAGCTGATCGCGGATCGATGCTCGGTGTTATTACAGATAGAAAGTTACCGGCGCGCTTGAGGCCGCTATTATCTTTATTCTTATCGTGACTGTGGCTGTAAACATAACCGTTATTTCCACGGAATCTTATGTGGTAACTAGTAATGACACTTTGTTGCATAAATAGCATTAAATGTACTGTTCGCCACGAAGCTTCATTCCTTGCGGTCTACGAGAAGCGAATCTCTTTTAGCCGCGTCGCTCTAAACGTAAACTACATCATCTCACTGAAGAGATGAAGCGGATGATGAGGAAGAAGTGTGGAGGAAGAGAAATACGCCGAATATGCTAAACATCATTAACGGGCGGGGCGCGTTATGGTGTTTTATCTAGCCAAGCGACACGGTTATCGTTGTTAAGTGTATCTGTAGAGCAGCAGTGCGAGTCGCGCGTATTTTTTCTCCCGTAGAGGCGGAACGAGAAAGCAACCTAGAAAATATGAAATTATCTAACCTCTTCTTACCGACAGACCGACTTTTTTTATTATATATCAAGAACTATGCTCGCGATGACGGCGTTACATCGAACGACAATTGACGCTTCCGTGACGGTCCATCGCGAGACGCGAGCTCTGCGATAAACCGACGTAGTTCCACCACAAATCCAACATTTAATCTTACATATTCGTGTGTAAAATTATACAGTCATTTCTTACGCATCTATGCGCGTGTTATTATAATTTTATACACATACATATATGTTAATTATATATATATATCAGTGTTGAAGGTACGATGAAACAAAAATCCTACGTAATTATGAGGGACATTTCGAGGTGCGTACTTCGAATTTGGTGGTATTACAGAGGAAATATTGTAGTAAAAATTACACTACGTGTACGTGTAGTGTTGTCGCCGTTTGTGAATTTCACTCGCGAATTCTCCTCCTCGTCGTCTGAATTCTCTCAATTCCGTCGCAACCGGTGCACGAGGACACTCCGTTAGGGTCGTCGCTGGAGACTACGCGACGGCACATAATCGCGGCCCGCGATGTCGTTCTTACGCGTTCTTCTTATACAAACAAGCGTCACGCGAATCATGCACTTTCTCTCTCTCGAGGCTACCGGCGATGAGTTCCTTACTCCCTCCACCGACGGTAATCTCGCCGATATCGTCGTGCGCGGAATAAATTCAGGCGCGCAAAAAGAAGAGGAAAAACGAGGGGAAAGAGAGGAAAAGGAAAAAGCAACGAGTGTATGCAGAAAGCGAGAGAGACATTGTTCACCTGCAGCACGATCCGCTTTACTTTACTTACTTGATCGCCGGATATGACGATCTACCTCCATCGATCGATCATGTGCGTACACTCAGGAACGGACTCGAGTGAAACGGCGCCTTGGAACGGCTGCTTCTTGCCGTCTAATTTCTCAACGATCCACGCGCGTACACTCGCTTAGTTGACTTAAACTAATTTCTTGTTTGGATACGGGCAAACAAATGTTTTGTTTGCTTGTGAGAACCGAAATTCGCTTTTCTCTGAAACGAAGATGAGAACGGTCCAGTTCTCACAATCAAAATATTTGCTTGCCCGTATCCAAGCAAGAATTTAATTTCAGAGTCAATTGAATGGGGTTTCTCAGTGTGAGAGAGGAGCGCGGACGGTGTCTTTTCTTCTTCCGTTTTCTCCCTCTTCGCGACGAAGGGTGTGATTATCTTTTTAAGAGAACCCCGAAGCCGGGCGCTTCGCTGGCCGGCCTCCGGCACTAATTATTATTTACGAGCCACTCGTCAGACCTCGATCGCATCGTGTCGTCCACGGTTTTGCTCCAATTCGTCCGACTATTTAGCCGGGGAAAATCGGCAAAAACGCGAGTCCCCCGAGGGGGTGGATCATCTTCGGTCGCATTCGTGGCGCCGAGAGACGCGAGATCTTATCACGGCGCGATCTTCTAACGCGATCACGCCGAGCTGCGTTTACGTAATCCCGAGGTACCTACGAAGT